TCTCTGTGCTGTGTAGCTGCTCCCCCGCGTGTCAGTGAGTATAGAGGCAGGGAGGGATATGCTTTAACTTCCTATCCCTGAATCTCTCCACACACAGTGACCCCTACTGGCTGGTGCTGGTATTGCAGAATAATCTCCGTTTAAACTGAAAAAAATATCTGCATTTGTATTGCCGGTATTACTGCAATACCGGCATGGCCAGCCAGCCTCAAATAAATACATAAAATACCAGTCAGGTGGCAAACCTAAAAGTAGTGTGTAAAAAAAAAAAAAAGTTTTTTTGTTTTTTTTAAATGGGCCTATTCCATGGGCCTGGGCCCCTATGTTAATCCGGCCCTGTCCGTAACCCCAGAACTCAAGGGGGGGAGGGGGAGTTGTGTTTGGGGAGTGACACAGTACAGTAGGTTGTTAATAACCCATAAGGTTCTGAGGAGCATAAAACCATAAAAATAAGTGCAGAAGAACTATACCACATTAACCAAGTAGACAACCAGTTATAGGTTTGCATAGGATCACAAGTGGCCATTCGGTTAGTCGCCTCATCCTGGGGCCATTGAGCTTGCAGGCGTGAAGACAGCTATGTTGTCAACGTCCCACTGATGTACAGGTCTGTTCTGTAGTTTTAGCAGCCAGTCGCAGAGATTGAAGGAAGCTGTCAGCATGCGCTGCTGAGGTGAGTCTGTGCTGTTTGCCATTCCTCTCTGCCACAAGTGCCCGTGGGTTCACCTACCTGTATTGAATTTGTGCTGTTCGCAGTTAAGATGCCACTGTTCAGCATTGCATGCCAATGCAGCGTGGACCTGCTAAGATCCTGAAAGAAACACAGCAAGTGCTGCTCAAAAATGAATGGTGATTGGCCTTTGACTTGTGCCATAAATGTTTCCTTGTCGGTTCGTGAACAAAAAGATATTATGACATCTCTGGATCCAGAGGACTTGGTTGTAGAGCTCCATGGGAGTCGGTATATCCCATCTAGCAGCGTTCCTTTTGTCTGTTTAGGTGTTAGGGTAGTGGAGAGTAGCCTCCTGATGAACTGAGGGAGCTCGCCAGCATCAACAGTGTCTGTGATCCCACGGATTTTTAAATTGCCTTGCCTTGCCATATTTTCCACCTGTCCCACTTTTGCTGTTAATTCTGCACATGTATGGGATACCTCATGTAGTTGAGCTGCTGTGGTGTCTAGTTTGACTCCAAATGTCACAAACTCCGGAACCAGACATGCTGACAGAACACAGACACAGGAAGTGCAGTACTGATCCTTAGAGTGGCCGGGCAGTGCACACAGAGTGAAGTCAGGATACAAGCCAAAGTCAGAGGGAACCAAATTGACAGAATAATCGATAAATCAAGCCGGGGTCAGGGGTTAGAGAAAACAGGATAAACGGTAAGACAAGCCAAGATTCGTTAACCAGAAAATCAGACAAGCAGACAGAATATACGCACTATTGGGCTATTAAAAGACCACAACGGGGGGGCGGAACTTGACAGCCAAGCTGAGTGGTCGCACTGCAGATGAGCCCCAAATCAGCCAAATTTATGGCAACAAGCTACATATTGCCTGCGTTTCAGCCCCAGAGACAGGGTCTTAATATGGAGAAGATGCAAAACAGGGTCCACGACCAACACAGGCGACCGCATCCACGGGACAGACCTGAGGCCTACATGCGGCCTACTCGGGAGGCATGGGGGAGGCGGCCTATTCTACTATAGGACTCCCCGGATCACCCTCTCCCCCCCCCCTGCCGAGAAGGGATATCCCGGCAATTAAAGCCAACAATCCAGAACGAAGGCACCAACCTCAGATCAGCCGCACCGCAGTACCGCTGACACATAACATGGCTGGAGCCACGTGGACAACAGCACCCAAGCCTCAGATCAGCAGCACCGCAGGACCGCTGACACATAACATGGCGGGAGCCACGTGGGCACCAGCGCTCCCTTCTACCTGTCACTCAGTGCAGCGTGGCTGGGCAGTGCGGTCTGTGGTACAGGAGCTTCCAGTAACCGGCTGGACTAAGTGAGCACTTCCTGTCAGTCCGGCCGGGTACAGGAAGCTCCTGTACCGCAGTCCGCGCTGCCCAGCCACGCTACATAGAGGGAGGAGGCACAAAAGTGAAGGGAGGAGAGATAGCACTAAGGGACACTGGAGGTGGACTCGGGGAGACAGCACTAAGGGACATGGGGGGGAGAAAGCACTAATGGACACTGGGGGGACTTGGGGAGACAGCAATAAAGGGCACTGGAGGGGGAGACAGCACTAAGGGACACGGGACGGAGACAGCACTAAGGGGCACGGGGGAGACAGCACTAAGGAACACTGGGGGGGGGACAGCACTAAGGGACACTGTAGGGAGGGAATACAGCACTAAGGGACACGGGGGGAGAGACCACTAAGAGAAAGATGGGGGTGAGAGACCACTAAGGGGAGACCAATAAGGAAAAGATGGGGGAGGGGGGAGACTCTAAGAGGCAGGGGGGAGGGAGATCACTATGGGATAGGTGGGGAGGGGAGATCACTAAGGGATAGGAGAGCACTAAGGGACAAGAGGGGATGGGAGAACACTAAGGGACAGGAGGGTAGGGGACAACACTAAGGGATAGGAGGGGAGACCGCTATGGGACAGGGGGAGAAGTGGAGATGAGACCACTAAGCGATGGGGGAAGTGGCAGAGATCATTAAGGGACGGGGGAATGTAAGACACACAGAGAGACTGAGGAAGGCGTGAATGAGAAGCACAGAAGGGCTGGTAGGGGAGACAGAGACACACAGAGAGGCTCAGGAGAGAGACACACAGAGGGGCCTGGGGGGAAA